AATGATATCCAGGGGGTAAATACATAAATAATATGTATTTATAAGAACAAATAATATAATATCTCATATCTGATTGCAGTTTAAATTCAATATCATATTTTGAATTATGTATCCATGTAAACTAAATTAACTTCTAAAAGTAGGCATGATATGTATACAGAAGCATAATGCTAATTTGCTGAAAGCTACTCTCCTTTTTTAGAAAACTAGACCGCAGAAAGCATGATAAAAAACACCCCGAGTTTCACCACAGTAGATGATTATTATTGTCTGAATGTTCTTAATCTTTGTCTTTTTGTCTCCAGCAGCATGCAGGAGAACAGCATGGATCAGCCCATGTCTTTATCGCAGCTTCTGCGTGAGAGTTACCTGGCCGAGGCCCGAGCTCATCACAGACACGGCGAATCCAGCTGCATAGACAGCCCTCGCCGCCTGGTCTACGGGACGCTCAAGGAGAAAGCGGACGACTCCGGTGGGAAAGTAGATCCACAGTTTCCTGACCTGTCTGCCTTCCTGAGCCAGGAGGAACTGGACAAGAGCGTGGATCTGGCCTGCAAAGCGTTCCGCAGTGATCCTCGAGAACGTGAGGAGAGATCCGACACACATCCACCAGTGAGCCACTCTAATGTTCCTTCCAACAAACCCACTCCAGAAACAGAGGTCATTTCGGAAAGACACACAGTACAGACTCCCATCCAAGACAGTGCGATCAGGAACGTCAGAAGTGCTAGGGAACCTGCGGCGGATTTCAAAAGACCTCAGAGAAACGCTCCATACGGCTTGGAGACCCAATCCAAGAAGGAGTTCCTCAACAAAGCAGCTGACTTCATAGAAGAGCTTTCGTCTCTGTTTAAAGCCAACAGCTCGAAGCGAATTCGGCCTCGTACTTGCAATACCCACCGGAGACGATACCAGAATAAGACCCAACTTGATGGCACTTCATACTCCATTAATGCAGAAGATCGAGAAAGGCCTATTCTGCTCAAGCAACAGATGGAGGAGCCAGTGGAGAACAGTGGAGTCACGGAGGAGCCGTATGAGGCAGAGGAACCTCAGGAGCCGGAGCCGGTGTGTGAGGAACCGGCTCTGATTCCACCGGAGAGCTCAGAGGAACCCGTGTGTGAACCTCCACACTTTATACAGAGACTCAAAAGCAGGGAGGTTCCTGAGGGCAGTAAAGTCCAGATGGATTGTATCGTCAGAGGACTGCCTGCTCCTGAAGTTCGGTGAGTTTGAACTACTTTTATTGATGCATATTAGTAGTCCATTATTATTACTATTGATGCATATTATTAGTGCATTGTTATTAC